GAGAGAGAGAGAGAGAGAGAGAAGAGGAATCCGTGACGGGGGTGCAGGACGGAGCGCGGGAATGGAACGGCAGCAGGAGATCGAGAGATCGAGACACGGGAGAGGGAGAAGAAGAATTATACATCTCTCTCGTGTCTCTCCCTTGTCCCCGTCCATCCGTTCGTTCGTTCGGTCGTTTCGGTTCGAATATGGATATGCCCTGTATGGATATATCGGAAGAGCCAGGGAGCCATTTTCAATCTGTTAAAAGCACGTCAAAAAGTCATACGGTATTTCACCGGCGTGGTAGATCGCAACGAGATCGCGCGAGCTTTATCGCGAACCCGATGGCGACCTGAATGCGGCGTAAACCGGTATATGGATCCACGTGAATATATACATCAATATGTAGTAATGTCATTCGAGGTGCGAAATTAATGAACATCAATTATCATTGTCTTAGCTATAATCGAAAACGGGCAAACTTTAGTAAGCATCATTTCGAAGATTAAAGATTCTAAATTCGCAAATGTTCACCTTGTAGCGCCTTATATTAACATAAAATATTATTTAAAACATTTAGAACAAATTGCACAAGTTTTTCACTATTCATTCTTTGATACTCGAGAAGTGTAAGGAAATGGTCAGATAATCGTCTTTTTTTCCATACTGACAAAAAGTGTGGACTCAAAAAAAAATAATTAAAAGAAATACTAATGAATGTTGAATCGATCAATTTATTTATATTCATGTTGATTATACGTTGGTCAGAATTATAAAACTCATGACTCAATTAATTAAACGTGTCGATAAAATTATTTTGTGGTTCGAAATTATACAATTTCACAATATCACTGACGCTTTAATTGGAATACATAAATATTTAAAGCAGAAAAATAATTATCAACTAAACGCATAATCATGTTAATCAATTTCTTTTCCAAGTACATCGTTAAAAATTGATAGCAAATTAATAAAAATTTGTCGTTCATAAATGATTGTAAAATTTTATATCAGTTAACTTAGTATAAGAGGAATAATATGATGAAACTAACTCAATAATATTCCATTTCACCGTATACACAACATTCCTTACAGACGTAATAAATGTGTGGGAGTTTACATATAAAATTCCGAATATATGTAATCTTTCAAGATCAAGCGCAGTCTCTCGGTTTATCGCATTCATCGATGAGCAAACAGGTTACATTGTAACTCAAAGAAGGTATACGAGGAAGAAAAGGCGATTGAAGCATAGTGCAAGTACCTCTTACCTGCGATTTCTTTGTGCGGCTTTGACGTGACGACTATAATATACCTAATCTCGCTTATCCGATCGCACTTATTCGATCGGCCGCCCCGGATAGTGTCGCGAGGTCAACTCGACGTTTATAAACATCGTAATTCGATATTGTCCTGATCTTAATCTCGAACCCACCCTATTTGCCTAGAGCTGTACGCAGCCCGAGGGAAATCTCAAGTGTGTGTGCATTGCTCAACCACTCGACAGCACAAAATAAATCGTATACTTTCGGAAACATTTGAAGCACGGGAATTAAAGACCGTGAGAGAGTTTGCGATAAATGTTTTCATTTCTGTCAAGTGTCCGCGAGGGGCGCGTGTTATCTGTATATGACAGGCAATATTTAAAACATTACAAACATCAAATCATTTCACGAAAGATATTCACTTTTCATCATTTTTAGTAATTCTCGACATTAATTTTGTTATGAGATTTAAACTGTAATTTGAAGAGAGCGGGCGACTTTTGACAGATATTTTTATATGCTTCATGACTCGTTCGATTTTGCGTTTTGCATTGCACGAGAAGTACATGATACTTTACAACCGGGCATGTATTGGCGTACCTATTGGTTTATTGATTTTCCCATCGGCGCGTACATTCGCTTTTGAGTGGCCGATGTGCGAGAATAAAAAAAGTCCATGTCTGTGCTATATATACAAACGTCGACGAAACGCACTCCCAATCTGGAATACTTTTATTATTGCTCAAATTTGTTCGCCGTCAAATGAAAAATCCCTCCGCGAGCGTCATCAAAAAAAGTGATCCCCCGTCGCGATTATATTTATTACGCATCCTTGTGTGACACTCTCGATGACGCTCGCGGCGTATATCCAATTCTATTGATTGCTAAATTACAATGTGGATAATTTGACTAAGTGGAAATTGCGTGTGACACGTAATGATTCGCGACAAAAATACGAGTATTTCCTCGTATAAATAATGATTCACCGATTTGCCGGCAAAAGAGCGTGTGGAAAATATGAAATATGTTAATCGAATAATTGTGTCGTTCATTTTCTATCTTTTCATTTCATTCTCAAAGGACTAGAATTTTACGGATTACGTTGTATTGTGTGTAAACCTGTTCTTCTTCTTAAAATGCCACTATTACTCGCACACTTCTTTTAGGCCGATCCCCTCCAATTTATACATTCATATAAACAAGTACATACTTGGTTGAGATAACCGACACTGCGATTGTTACTTTTTGAATTGAGAAGCGCGTCGAAAACGAGAGACGGCTTCCATGCATGCCTACATTACATGTATATCACGGGTTAGACTGGGCAGGGTAGTTAGGTGGGTAGGTAGAAACGTGGAGAGATACGAGATCCAAATCATAATGCGCACAATGCTTTTATTCTATTCTCTCATTGCGGGGTAAATAACATCTGTACATTAGATCACTATAAAATCGACCGCCATTGGCAAAACGACAATGGGGCTTTGCTCCTTCTTTCCACCTTTCCCCACCCCATTCAAATCTCATTGTATAATATGATTCAAAGAAGGCTCGTCGCGATGACGGTGTTGGTTGGTGGTTTATAGACCGTATCCAGCGAAAGAGAGCGAAGGTGAGGGAGAACGGGACGAGGAGAAAGGAAGGGGGGGGGGGAGAGAGAGAGAGAGAGAGAAAGAAAACCGAGGCACGGTGCGCGCACGGACAGAAAGAAAAAGGGAAAAAAGAAAGAAAGAAAAAAAAGAAAAGACATGTTTCTCGAGAGAAAGAGAAAGAGGACGAGAAAGACATGCGTGGTTAAGAACAGTCGGCCGAAACAAAAGGCGAAGCGTGGAGAAACGCCTGAGCATCGCTCCGCATTGTGTTTTATGCCGGAACGGGTTTTAAATGAAAGAGTAATGTGTTTGTTCGTTGCCACCACTACCATCTCCATCGTCACCACCACCGCCGCCGCCACCACTAGCACCACCACCACCACCACCATCACCATCACCACCACCACCACCACCACCATCACCACCACCACCACCACCACCACCACCACCATCATCATCACCACTACTACACCATCATATCGCAATACGAAAGATACACACAACCGATGCATACTTGCACCCCAACCCTCGGGACGAGCGAGTAAAGGTATATAGGTAGGTGTGTACGCGGCTAGGTATGTCCCCCTTTCACTCCACGCGCGCAGATATAAACTCTTAACATCTCCGTTTAGGTACAAGCGCGGACCTGCCAATCGGCAGCAGGCGAGGGCGTGGTCGTAACACCGGCGCGGTCTCGCGTTTGGTCGAGGCTCCTGGGTGGAACACTGTGGCACAGTGTTTTATTTCGCGCTTGTGGCGTGTGGAGGGGACGTTAGTTTCTGCCCTATCTCCCTCTCCGACCGCGGCTTCCGTCTCCGTCTCGCTCACCTTTACGCCAGCCTCTCCTCTCTCCCGCTACATAGAGAGAGAGAGCGACCACGGCCCACTTAAGCTCCCACTTTGCTGCCGACGCTGCCGACGCTGCCGTCGCGATACCGCCGCGCCGCGCGCGCTACCGCCTCTCTGTCTATCCGCGCGCGCTACCTGAATCGACTCACCCGGGATGCTGCAATTGTTGACAATGCTGGCGAGTGAGAGGGAGTGAACGAAAGAGGTGGCGAGAGTGTGCCGCGCGGGGCGCGATTCCGCATTTCGGCCCCCGATCGCCGCACGAGAGGGTGTCCGGTTCTTCGTGTGACAGGCAACCGCGACCGCGGTGCGAACTTACGGGAGTGCGGGCGCGTGCGCGCACACGATCACTGACAAGTATCTACCCTCAGCCTCCGTTTCGTCACCGTGACAATTGCGAACAAATTGAATTTCGACCAAGCTATCGCAATGATGCGTACAGGGACCGCTAGATTTGCAACACGATCGTCGCAGACGGTGTGAACAGCGCCGCCAGAGTATCGATTCCGATCGTCGCTAATCCACGGCGGAGAGAGCGAGTCGTTGCACCCTGCTTCGGGCGATTGTCCAACACGTCAAAAATCACCTCCGACATGGGGGTGAGTGCCGTCGAATACGCGGCTTCGCCCTTGACCGGAATTTTCTGCGGGGCGCGGTGATCGCGTTTATCGTCGTCGTCGTCGTCGTCGTCAAAAATATTTATCTTCTCTTCAAAAAAGGCGAGTGTGTGCTGTTTTAAGCGACGGACCATGTCACTACCACGCGGCGTCGGCCTCGGCGTTGACGTGGGTCAACTGATGCAGCATCAGCAGCAGCAACAGCAACATCACGTGCTGCCGGCCGCGTTTTTTCTCCGCGCCAGTGCCGAGAGATATCAGCGTACCCCCAAGTGCGCACGATGCCGCAATCACGGAGTCGTGTCCGCGCTCAAGGGGCACAAGCGTTACTGCCGATGGCGAGATTGCGTGTGTGCTAAGTGTACCCTTATCGCTGAGAGGCAACGTGTCATGGCTGCTCAGGTACGGTTTCGAACGAGACGTTTACCGTATCAATCTATCATTCGCAGATGCATGATTGTGAGAAACTGAATACTTTGAGTCGTTTCAAATTTGAAAAAAATAAGTGGGGCAAAGTTGTGTGACAAGTTGAGACTTGTCAGATTTTTTCAATCCAACCGAGAGAATATGACTAATAAGTCATCGTAAGTAATACGCAATATTATCCGCGGTGGCTTTTATTAGCCGTATCATCCTTTAATTTCGTTGAAAATTACGTGTTATTAAGCTTTGGAAATGAGCTCTATAATTGTCAGCGGAATATCCGATGCAGAGCAGAATACAGTATGATAATGATACATTCAAAGATTTGGCGAATATTAGTTACTGAGAAAACTCTTCTTCTCTTAATGATACACGTATATCTGTGATTAAACTAGAATGTTCAAAACACAATTAGAGCCCGCGATTCGAACAAAATAATGTAGAGTCTTGTATCAAGAAATTTTATTTCACCATGTCCTCATATAACACAATAATACATTGGTAAATTAAAATTTGCAATTTTATCTCATCCTTTGCATAACTCCGATCTCGAGCCATCGGATTATTATGTTTTTAATTTACTAAAAAATAATTTACAAGGAAGAACATTCTGTACTTGACGATAAGCTGCAAATGCATAACTGGGTTATTCGCTGAGAAAAGTAATTTTCGATTTTGATTCGTCTTAGTATTTAAATTCATCAAGATTGTACGATTAATGCCTTGGGTAAAATAGGGAGAAGTGCGAATATAAATGGGAAGACCAACAGAAATGCTTTGACTCGTAATTCCATTAGAACCTTAAAGGCTGTGATTTGTTTCTAAAATTTCCTTACGTTTTTATCAAGATTTATAGATATGTCGACCGTAAAATGTATGAAATACGACATAATAATACTCTACATTGATTATCTAAAATTTCGAGATTGCGTAATTATCTTGCGTAACAATAGACGAATAAAATTGCAGGGTGAATCGAATTATCAATAAAAAATTTTGTTGAAGCTACAAATTATGCATAATAATTAGTGTCTTATCGATGTTCTATCATTATATTTTTTTTGAAGCATAAGTAAAATTACAATTACTTTGTAACACTGATTCAAATTACTCTGCCCTTTTGCACTTACTATGCTTTGCGTTTACAATGTTATATGACATATTGTACATCTCACGCGCGAATCATCACATATGTCAGATTTATTTGTATGCTTGTAAGAGCTGTCATTGGCATAGTTTCTCCAATTTGATACAGATGCGGGTCGCGTTAATGTAACCGGCATATTAAGAATAGAGTTACCAGATTATTGAAATCGTAAAATACTATATGTATTCACACACATTTGAGAATTCGTTTCGAGCATTCTTGGCGCAATCAGTCTGGTTCTGAATTTCATTCAAAATTATTTCCAACGTCATCTTCGTTCTGCGAACGTCTGGCTTCTTTTTTGTGCATTGGCTAAAAAATGCAGATCCAGATATAAAATTACAATTTTTGCGCGGGCTTGTGATAAAAATATTTGAAATAAATCTTTATCCTCTCAATTGCCAATAAATGTAGGTTTTACCGAATTTAATGGATCATTCTTCTCCATTGTGACAATTAAATTGTTCCAGGTTGCGTTGAGACGGCAGCAGGCCCAGGAGGAGAGCGAGGCGCGCGAATTGGGCCTGCAATTGCAATACAATGCCGGCAGCTGCACCACCGCCCCCGTTTTGCCGGCGGCCGCCGGTGCGACGCCAGCTGGTAGCCCGCCCCCGCACCCGGCGCACGTAGCGAGTCCCGCGGGCCTCGCGATACCCGCGGCGGCTGCAGCGGCTGCCGCCGCCGCCGCCGCACATATCCAGACGCAGCTCCAGCAACAGCAGCCTGCGGAATGTGGTCTTCTGCCAAGGAAGAGGTCCACCCAGGACGAGTACCGGCAGCCCAAAGTTGAGCAGAGCGACGCCGTCGTCGGTGAGTGAACCATATTCCTACAATTTGTGAGAAATCCTTGAGATCCTTCTTTTATTTAAAATGTCTTTTATCAAACAACTGTATTATGAAAATTTTGTCCAACTGCACGTCCAACACACGTTACGTGTAAAGAAAATATTTCTCTGTCAAGATATCGTATCTTTGATTTGCCATGTCTGAACGCAGCGCGAACGTTCGACGGCAAGTGACCGGTGCACGGGCGAAAAAAGCAGCGATGTACCGCTATTAAATAAAAGTGCAATATACGTATATGCGGACGATAATAATCGACGGCACGCGATCAAGAAGCGGGCGTGCACACGCACGACTTGCGGACGAGTGCCCATTAAGAACGTGTATGTCACGCCTTTAAATAGGATAAGCGGTCGCGGGGTTGTAATATTGTTGAGTAAATAATGGTCATAAGTTTCTCGCCGGTCCTTATTATGCCACTCGAAGCAAAAGCAAAAGTCGTACTCGTTAGTGGCGGACCTTTAATTCTCTCCGTTCACTCGTTCGCTCGCTCGACCCTTCCGCTCTCCTTCCGCAGACTTCTTTTTCTTGATGGTTTATTCGCACCCTATTGAATAAGTGGAATGCACACGCGCCCTGGCACCTAAGCTTAAATGCGCCTTAATGGCACTTTGTGCATTGATAAATACAAATTTACCAGCTTGTTCAACCGATACTTGATGAAAGATATCTATCGCTGTCATTTAACGGTACATTTAATGTTGGATGTGTGATCTTTTCGCGATCCCCGTTAAACCCCGTTAAACCCCGTTAAACCCCGTTTTGAACGACAAAATTCGAGACAAACTTTAGGCAAACGAAAATTAGATAAATTCGATCGAATCAATATGAAATACGCAATTAGAATATGAATATCTGGATCTAAGGTATGAGCATGATAAATACATATCGTATTCTTTTCAATTAGACACAATGATATTAAACTCAAATCAAAAAGACATAAGCAATAATAATCACGAACCAGTTCACTGACAATTATGTGCGATTGAGTTACAAGAATCAGCTTTTTCCCGGCCGGCATCACGCTTTATTCAATGCAATTGTAATCGATTATCGGTTTGTTTCGAGTGCTCTATGTAGCACTTTTCTATCGCTCACGTTGCATTTTATTGTTACCTCTGGCAGTGACGTCCGAAAGAGATTGCATTTTGTCGCGCTGTCGCGTGGTCAAATCAAATAGTTACGGTTAATAAAATCTACCTGTGTCGCGTGACATCTCGTTACACGCGTGTCCATTCAGCTCGTACTTGCAACAAAAGTGCGCAGAACGATCCATTAATTGCTCGCATCGCATTTCACCACTCTTTCTAAACGAATGCGAAAATGCTTCTCTTGGGATTGATTTGTTAATAAAATTTTTTGGAAAATAAGATAATTAAAATATTTTTGACAAATAATTAATTATGAGTAGATTAAAAAATTAAAAATTATTAAATCTTCACTTGAAAAGATTTATTTCTATTACATAGAAGGCATATTATATAGAGAAGAACGAAAAGCGCGGTTGTCGGAGAGCAAAAAATGATTACAAATTAATACTACGCTTTTTAATCATTTTTATAAATTTTCAATATTTCTCTTGTAATTTAAACTCTTAAACCCTTGTCTTCCTTCCCTATATTTTATCCAACTGAAGAGAGCCGAAACATATTTTTGGTACCTTTTGTGTATTAATTTATAATGATTTTCCGCACTTGGAAAAACGCATTTGATCATGTTAACAACTTCTCTTCTCGATGTATAAAAATGACGAAGAGAACGACGAAGAGACACTATCGTGCAACGACGACGAAACCCCTCGGGTGCATCTGATTTCAATTACGGGTCTCGAATGTACTGCGCGTACCTGCGAGACGAGGGAGAGACGTAAGATGTCTCTCCGCAACCGATCTTCGTAACAGAGTGCTTACAGTAGTATGAGAGTCTCCGGTCGAGAAGTTTAGCAGTAATTGAATTTCTCGGGCCAGTGCCTTCGACCGCGGGGGATTCTGGGTTGGTCGGTAGTACACACATTCTCCCTCTCTTTCTCTCTTTCTGTGGGTAGGTCGGAGAGATCACGAGGTTGCCTGCTGCCAAGTGGGTGGGTGCACTCTCGGTGGCGGAGAGAAACTCGACGAGCCCCCATTATATTGCGAACGGGGAAAGAGATATCTACCTCTTTATACTTAAATGCCGAGGGAATGGACACTCGCAACTTCGCGAAAGAGGAAAGAAAAGGGATCCTTTTCTCCGAGAACGCGCGGAGAAAATTTCGACGAGAGAGATGCCGGAAAGCTGAGGTTTTTTATTTCATTTTCTTTTTTATCGCAACGTCTTTTTTATCGCATCGTCACTTTTCCGTTTTGATAACTTTTATCACGGGGTCATACAATTTGGTGAAAATTTATAAAACGTTATCATTTCAATCATCTTTGTTGAAAAATATTTAATTTAAATATTTTCGTTCTATTGAATGATAAAATATATCTCATAACTTGTGTAATAATCAGAATTTTTAGATACTACGATATCCGGCTAGCTCTTTGGCAACTTTAGCCGCGAATTGTGTACACAATACAGTATTGGAAAATGATACCAATATACCACGTATAATTTCGAGTTATTGACTGTTGCGTTATATCCGCCACAGACGAAATTAAAAAGTGCATGGAAGAGTACGGATTTCGCGCGGCAAAGAGTAAAACGCTGCGCGGCACAATCATTATGTCCAAAAGGAGGATGTTAGAGATTTGGTCTTTTCGCTGAAATTCTCCTCGTGGAGAATGGTGCAGGGAGGATACCACTTCGTAGGAGCCGGTGCACACACTCACGCGGCAGGCGCCTTTTGTACGTACGTGTGCGACACACCCTTTATCCCGTAAGGATCACTTGGTCGCTCCGTCTACCGGGGACCATTATCCGGCAGTTTCTCCGCGAGAGAGGAGCTTCTTCAAGTGTCCAAGAAACTTTGTGAAAGACCAGTTTGCTTCCGTTCTTCGTCCTTCGTAGCTGTGGAGGACACCAGGAAATTATTTCGTTCCCCGCTGTAATACGTTCCCCTGCGCTCCTTTGAATTACACCCGCGTTCGTGTGAATTCACGTAGCGTGTCTTCAAGGTGGAACAAGCGGCGTAAAAAAGATTCCGATCGCATGATGAATTTCTCCTGAAATATCAAAACCTCCACCGTCTAATGTGCGATTGTGGAATTCAATCGTGCGTTATGCGTAAACCAATTTCAAACTGGAGCTATTGTGTGAAAGAAAAGTTACTTTCACACAAGCCGAATTATTCCATATGACGAAAAAATAACAACTTTTTCTGGTTATATGCGTTAAATTTAATTTTAAAGATATGAGTAAACACACCACTTCAATTAAACCTTGTATATTTCTTTAGTACAATATAAACTTGAACAAAGTACTCTAATAAAATTCGCGATTAAATCAGCGATTTGCATTAATGCTAGAATATACCCATTATATAACTTTCAAGATTTATTTCATAATATTTGTCAAGAATATTCATCGATCTTTCAATTCTCCATTGCAGATAATTCTAATGTGCGAGAGATATTCAATTTTCCCTCACAATATACCTATTAGTCTGAAAAACTTCTTTAGAATAAATTCAAGTATTACATAGCTAACTTTCTCCGTGAAAATCCAATGTCAGTAAATTGATTTTGTAAACTTGTCGCGTGCGTGTGACGAAAAAAGATTATCTTTATTTTGAAAAGTATTCAGTTGCGAAACACACGCACACGCACACACAGTAACGGAGCCGGTGCCGTTAATCGATCATGCATTATATCGGTTTGTGGTCCCGGAGTACATACGCGCGTCGCGGGAACTCGGCAAGGCAAACACGATTTAAGTAATCAAATTCGAAGCCGGATAAGGCAGGATCTCGCGGCAACGCTCGCACGGCTACTTATGCTCTTACGACGTGCCTGGCAACATTGTTTGCAAAGAGTCAGCGGGACTTCGGGGAACACAAACGCGGACAGATAGGTAAGGCCAAGCCGATCTTACCTATTTGCATAGGTGTACCCGCACTCGGGGTCGAATGCATGTACACGTGTGCAACGCCGCCGAAGGAGCACGTTTCTAAGAGTGTTTGAACAAAACTTCTGCCAGCGCATTCTGACTACGTTCCTCTCTCGCTCTTCGCCGGATTCCCCTAGGATCGCAAACGGTATGAAGGGCTTGCCTCGCCAGCCCTCGGTCTCCTCTGTTGATCGATACGAGATCTATGGGAATGTCGCTAAATACCGTCGTAAACGTGATTTCATGCTGGTAATTCGGTGCGAATGCAAACCGAGTAAAAGCTGATTCTCTTCGCATACAGGATGACATGGAGATATACATACTAGGCGGCCGTGTCAAGTTGTTATTCGATACTTCAAAATATTTGACAATTATGGAAATGCTGGAGAAGCTCTCAACTTATAACTATTATTCTCCTCTGCGTATGTTGTGAGCGCGTGAATTTTATTTCGCTTTATCTCGACTCTTCGCTAAAATTCCGTAAAACACATATTACATATACGCTCTCATGACTGAGTTGACGTACAACCTAGTTTCGACGAAGACCGGTTCAAATAATCTTCGGAAGCCGTATCAGTCCTCTCGAGAAAAAAAAGCGATGGAAATCGGACACTTTAACGGTGGCGGTAGGAACTTGGATCTCTCTTCTGCTACTTCCGCGAGTATAAAAGGACCATTCGATCCATTTGACTTAATTAACTTGGCAGGGGGGCTGAGTACTTAATCGGTGTAAGAGCGAGCTAACATTTTTCTCGAATATTAAAACGCCGCGAATGCACATTCGCGATTCTAAATTTAATGCTGAGCATAATCGTATCACATCTGTCCAATGGAGAAAGATCTTGAATGCAAAACAACCATTTTTTAAAACTGTCATAAATAATCGCGCTTTCGGAAATGTGAGAAATTTGAATAATATTGCCACAGAAATCCTTTGTTTAATTTCGACATTTATCCCATTGTGTAAAACAGTCTAAAATAATTTCAAATCCAAGTACGGTCATGAAACTTGTAAATCTCCGCAACTCTGTTACAACATTTCTGTGCACTATAATTTATTTTTTTAAACTGATTTTTAAATTAATAATTATTTTCAAACAAGATTTATACCTTGCAATAATTGAAATTATGCGACTCGAATGATTCGAGAACTAGTTGTGACAAGCATAGGCGGAGTCGATCGCAGACAGACCTTTCTCGACACGCGACAACATGGCGTAACGTAACGCATTGGCGAGCATCCAGTCGAGCGTGCATATCGCTGTAGAAACCAGCGCGGCGGGTTTAAGAAGAAAAAACTAACGATCACGTAGTACTTCTCGGGGAAAAAGAAGCGAGACGCGACGCGGAAGGACGAGCCCTCGAAGGAACCCCTGTGGCGGGGCAATGGAAACGCGACAAGATGGGAAGGGAGGGTGAATCGCACTCTCTCCCTCCCGCATCGGAGGTGGGAGAAAATCTACCACTATGAGAGAGCGAGCTTGCAAACGTTTTACGAGGCATAAACGCCAAAACAAAAGACGGCTGGGTGCGAAACAATTAAAAACGTTACGCCTGATCGCTCTCCAACGTTTTCTCCTCTTCTGCCCTCGCTTTCTCTCTTCTCCCCTTTCTCCCTCCCCCCTCTCTCTCTCTCTCGGCTGTCCATCCCTTTCTCCTCTTTCTCTTTCTCTTTCTCTCTCGGCTCTCGCCCTATCCATCATAGACCTCTAGGGGTGTACACAATCATTTCACGACCGTATTCACCCCTTTCACTGCGACACACAACGAAAACACATCGACGGTGTAAAACGGTGCTCTCCTACGCGCACATACAGGTATGTGCACACGTATTCACACACATGCGCGCGCGCGTACATATGCTTGGAAATAAAAGGGAATCGCGACGATTTAATGACTGATCGGGCTGTTGCTCGCTGTTGCTGTCGCTGTTGGCTAAAGAGCTCTTCCTCTCCCCCATCTCATTCCTGTTTTCCCTCTCTCTCTCTCTCTCTCTCTCTCTCTCTCTCTCTCTCTCTCTCTCTCTCTCTCTCTCTCTCTCTCTCTTGTAACTGCAACGCCATGCCTTTCTTTTTCCGAGTCGCGCTGATTCATGGAATTAATTGATGCCAAGCAATCAATTTGTTAAAACGATTAGTTTTTGAAATAATCATTTCCAGTTTCTGCTTGTTCTTATTTTTATCAGGTAATGTTCGGTATAGATGCATTTAAATGAACAAATACAATTGACGAGACCAGTTTCTTATCACACCTAAACTGTGTGATATTAACTACAAAATTTTATCATTCAAATCTATTCTCTTTTAGATAGTATGATTTAAAACGATCATATGGATTTTAGTGCGTTACTCGATAAATATTAAACTGTTTTGTCATAAGAGCGGGATTTCAATTTATAGCGGGAAAACTTTTGGTATAAATTATTTTCAGCTGTAATTTAATAGCTCTCCGTAATTAACATCATATACAAAGACCGTTTATCAATCGCATGCGCGGCCAAAGAAAGAGAAAGCGTTTCGGAGACCCGCGTACACACTCCAGTTACTTTACGATCTTACGAACAATAGGAACTGATAATTCATAGTCATCGCCTTCCTCGTGTAACCTCGGGGGTCCTGAACTGGCAAATTTGAAATTCGCTACATAGTTACGTAGACGTGTTTGAAAAAATGACAAAGCTATTAAAAAAATACGAATAAAATATTCGCGCAATATAATATGTTGATACTTTTCGACAAGATAAAAAGGGCAATCATATTCCAATTTTGTTGCAATTGTGTTTTTTTTTCTCATATTAGATTAGATTAACGAAACAACAATGCATTCATTTCTATACGGTTCAATATAGTAGTCCAAAATGTGAAATTGTTGCAGCAGCATTCTTATAAATTCTGAAATCCTCTTTCTCTTGGCTCAAAAAGAGAAAAAAAAAACAACTTGTATCCAAAAGCTTGTATCGTGAACGAGCATACGCTTAGTTAGGCTCGCTTCGCTTAAGCCTAATTTATAGGGATGTTTCGTGTCCTCCACAGTTGCCCCACAGGCTGTGTCCTATTACTCCTATTCTCTATTATGCCGCCGCCGCCGCCGCCGCCGCCGCCGCCGCCGCCGCCGTAGGCCAGAGTCTCCTCTCCCGATATCTATGTGCCATTCTAAATTATTCGGTATTGTCCTCGCATGATTCCATTGTCCGCGTCTGTCTCCACCGTGCGCTGATACGCCACGCCGCAGGTTAGGGCGTAAACCTACAACAGCACCCGCCGTCGGGTTCTGTGCGGTTGTGTATCTGCTTCGAGTGCGTCTTGTCATCATCGGTCAAGAGAGGTCCGTGCGACGAGCTCCATTCGTATGTACATCGCCGAACATTGCCGTCACCGATTAATCGCCGCCACCGATCGCGCACCGTAAGAATGTGCGGGCTGTCTGTGACGGGTGTGTGATTTGACGATTAAATAATGTAATAGCACTTGAAAAAATACAGTAATTTACTGCGGGGATAGATAACTTTTGAATATTGTGTGTTTTTTTTTGTGCTTAACGATATAAAACAGTTATAGAAATCTAAAATATCCAATTACTGAAATTAACTCATTGATTTCTTTTCCGCTTGTTTTTTTTTTTTCTTTTTTTTTTTATAATGCAACTTTCGTAAAGTTGACAGCATATGAAAGCTTAAAAGACTCGAATCTGTGTATTTCAAAGATGAATAAATAATAAAATTAATATTTTTATTTAGCAACAGATTTAATTGTTGAATAACAAATGTCTGCGTATATATTATTTGATTTAAATTGACGTTTTTTCTTTGCGGATAAACCAGTACTGCACGGTGCTCTCTCCTCCGGTGCAACGAATTTTATTAACTTCCTTGCGTCTCAAAATACACACTAGATATATACGGTTGCCCTGTGTCGGAAGACATCCAAGAGAAGTTAGATTTCTCCCATTCGTGTGTGCCCGGGACGGGAGAGATTACAATAAATTGCACACGCACCCTTCTTGAAATACAAGACAAGTACACTGTTGAGAAGGAGGAAAACGAGAGAGGAGGGAAAGATTCTCGTTCGCGATACTGTGTTCCCTATTGTGCCATGTTGCTTTGCCTCGCCCAAAGGGCACGACGTCTCACAATGCTTTCGTTTTTCTCACCTTTTCCGCCATTGATTAGACAGGCACTTTCAAAAAGCATTCAGAGGGACTAGCGTGCACTTGAAAATATCATACAAATTATACCTAGATATCTCAAATTTCTGACAATTTCTTTTATCCAAAAGCTACTTACGACTCATTTCTCAAACAGTTTACAAATAAATGCTGAGCGCTTATAAATCACCTCGTAAAACATTCTTTTTTGTAATATATATTAAGTAAATACAATTGTGAAAGATTGGCTATAAATCACTCAAGATAATTCCGTTGTTGTCCGAATGATGACAAATCATGACAGCATTGTGACAGTATTTCGACGGACGTACGTGTCACCTGAGACACCTTGCACACACAATCGAGAAACGCAACACGGATACTCGACACCCTCAAGGACTCAGCAGATATGCACTTTGTTACGCCGCTACGGCACTTTATGAAGGTTACACAGGGATATGAATTTCGACCTCGTGTGAGAATGGCGCACACGACGGAAACCAGAGGGGTTGATATTCGGGGGATGATCCTTGAGAGAATGATATTTTAATAACGGTCTCTGTCAGTAATATCTACCGGCAATTCCTACCCGCCAGTCTGAATATGCGTGCTTGTGTCGGTGTGTGCAACAAAAACAGAAACGTCCCAGGGACGCCTTGGGGGTTTAAGAATCCTCTCGCTAGCAGCTACATTAACACCGGCTCTGGATATTGCATTCCTTTCCTTTGACGTCGGCCGGATGTCGATTATTAATGTTATTATCTAGATACCCCCGCGTCAAGAGGCAAGGCAAAAAGAGATAGCTGTATCCCGCTGCGGAATTTAACCCTGGCATCCAGCGAAAAACGTCATCCGTTCACGCCTAATATGTTTCGATATAATTCCGCGTCGTAATTACGAAATAATTTAAAACATTGATGAAATTAAAGCTCGGACTTTAAAATCTAATAATAACATAATAACAACATGTATTCTTGCAATAATTTTGGTTAAATATTTAGGATTCAGAAAGAAACGGACAATATACACGCAAGAAAGTGGAAAAGAAGTATAATAGACACAATTAAAACTTTGTTTAGAATTGAGAGCAAGTCTAAGTGATTTATAGCCAATTACAAGTAAATTGAAAGAAAGACATAGAGGAATTAAATAATTTCTATCAATCGAGAAATCACATATTCACCGACCCACATCGTCAAGGGGCGTAATTCAGCGAGCGGAGAAATCGCGATTAAGCGCATACTGAAGACTCCCGTGCTTAAACGGCACGCGGAGGGTCTCTCGTACACGCGCACAAGAGGGGTTTGATAACGGGGGCTGGGAGGAAGAGGGGAGATGGAAACGGAAACCGTTCGCGTAGCTGCTCTGGCTACATTTTCCCGGTCTATCAATCTCTCCCTCACTAATAAACGGACGGTTAAACTTTTTAACGAGCGGTCAGATCTCCATCACCTAAGCGCAACCAACCAGCCACCCAGTTACCCTCGCGGGATTCTTTCACGCATTGCCGACGGCTCAATGACCGTGCACGTGCATATACGCCCACGCGTGCTACAACAGCACCCTCGAGAGCCTCGGGTACTATTAAAGCAGGATACAGACTACCGAATTTAATCTTCAACATTTTGGTGTTACGCAGCTCTCGACTCGGAGCATTCTATCAAAAGTTAATATTCCAACGTATTAAAAGATATTTTACGTAAAATTACACGTTTTATCGGCATCGAATTGTTTTGAGCCAAAGTTATTAACCCGTATAACATTCAAATAAAATGTAGATCGTGAAAATGTTTGCGACCGCACAAAGTTCGACTCGAAGCCAATTTGATAGTCTACTTTTAATATCGTCAAAGATGCCTCTTTCCCTTTGCACGTCATCATTTGTATGTGCGTGTAAGTCGTGTGTACGTGACCTTGTTCAATTATTTCTAACAACCTCTATTGATATATCGCAATTTTTTTATTACACCAGGGGAACCGTGATATACCGTGGTTCTTGGGTTTCTTTCGAGCACCGATCAATGCCTCGGATATTCTCGAGACGCGGTCAATTCAGTTCAATGCGGTCAATCCTAACAGCCCGAAAGATTTCATTATTATTTTTCTCTCTCAACTCATAAATAATACAAAGAACTTTTGTGATAAAATTGTTTTTTTCTGTTCGCTAAAAACTGTATTTAAACAGAGCAATATGTTCGTGATAAAAAGTGTGATAACTGTTAACCTTTTACACATAGACACGTTTAACTTTACAGATTATGTTTATAATATTTTTATTCTAAATTTTATGCGCGATATTCAATGATACGAATACAGTGATTCTTTTTGACGATAAATCTATCTATTTTTATTTAAGAGCTGTGTTCAAATAAACAAACAGAATATCTTTTTCTTACTTTTTTTATTTGAAAATGCCAAGACGTCGGAATGCGTTTTATTTCAGGACCGAAGCGATCTAGGATTTCTGAAAGTACGACGGCAACGATCCTATCAACCAGTGATGCCGGTAACGAAGACGATCGTGATTCCGATTCCGGTGGCGAGTTACGAACTGATCGTTCACTGGGTAAAATAATGCTCTTGTACATTCCAATTATCCCTTATCGTTACAAATTCAACTCCTCCGTTCATCCTGATGCTGGCCTATTCTCACGCGAATAAGCTATCTCGAGCGTTCTTTCCGTAAAGTTCTCTCCGCGAAATGACAAATATTACAGTGGTGTCGACATCGTCGGGAATACCAGAATCCGAAGTGACAACGAGAAAGCGCACCAACAGCCTGAACGATTCTGAGGAAGGCAGTCCTGAGCCGGGCTCACAGAGCCCGACGCACACGCCGCCGCTAACACCGGCCTTGACACCGCAAAGGGAGGATACTCCGGCGCCGGAAAACCTCAGTCTACGCAAGAGCGGCAGTCCACCGCAGACGCAGCAGCAGACTCTGCAACCAGTGGATCTGGTGCAGCCTAGACCTAGCCCCCCGTTACCCTCATTAGCTGTAAGTTGTACACAACTTTTTATTCCGAAGCCCATTTATAGCCCATCGCTATTTGCAAAACTCGATTCACTGACGCACAAAACGCGAAATAATACATTACTATGGGCACATTTATTCTTTCTCTAATGTTTTTGTAATCTTATTTCCGACGTAATATCGCGGAGAGACTTTGATCTTTGTATGCGAAGGCGTGAGACGATAGATCGCCGTCAAATAGGAGCAATAATAATTGTCAAACGAGAAAACTCGCGCTTGATTGCAGGCCGCAGCGACAGCAGTGCACTTTCCTCCTTACGCGCCTCTTTACGGGCCAACGGCGAGCTCGCTAGCGTATTGCTCGCCGGCATTGTATCAGCATCAGCATCATCATCACATACCCGAGCCGCGAGAGATTCAAATGCAGATGCAGATGCAGAATATCCAGCAGACATGCGGACTGCAGCTACAGCAGCAGCAGCAGCAGCAGCAACAGCAGCAGCAACAACGCTCGCCGGTGGACGTTCTGCTGCGCGTATTTCCTGGAAGACGTCGCGCTGACGTCGAAGCGTTACTTCATCGTTGCAAAGGTAGGATTTTCTTTTCTTAATCTTCCACGATTACGAAGCATCGAGAGGATTGGGAAAACTGTCTCATACACAAATTAAATACACAGCAACGCCGGCTGGCGATAGTAATATCATTAAAATTTTTCACACATAAAATTTCTTCCTCGTATTTATCTTATCTAAACATTTTTACGTGAAAAAGTAAGAAAATCTAAAAGAGAAATAATTAGAAAACTGATTTTTTTATCGCTTGAAGTCTAAATTATACTTGGACATTTGCAAAAATTCCTGCGTATTAGATTCCAAATGCGAAAAGTTACATGTTAATAAATTACTAAAGAAAGATTCGCGATTTTGTTACGAAAGAAACGCAAAATTATGTCGTCTTTGCGATTATTATTCACAAATATGCCGCACTTATTTTTTCATTTCTATTTTATTAAATCTATCGATTGCACTTTTCATTTAAAATTATAACATTGTATATCAATGTCATTGGACAACTTCATATCGATACAAGCTGCAAATCCTGTCGAAACATTTAAAAGATATTTTGAACAAGTGTGTCATACGTCATATACTATATTTAGCATCTCTCGCTACATTTCTTTATTGGCATTATTCTTCTTTGCGACTAAAAGTTTCACGGTGTATCTATGAGAGCATTTGGAGATTCCTTGTTGGCTTTACCGGAGAGAAAAAGAAAGGGGAAAGAGATATCTGCCTGTGTGTCGCAGGCGACGTGGTGTCCGCTATGGAGGTGCTGGTCTGCGAGGACAGTTTGCAGCCCAAGTCGGCGTTCTCGCCGTTGGCGGGCGCCCTAGCGTCCGCCGCCGCGGCATCCGCCGCGTCCGTCTCGGCGGCGGCGTACGCGAGCCGTGCCGCGTACTGCACCACCCCGATACCGTCAACGCGGCATCGGTTCCTGGCCGCGCCTTACGCCGGCACCGGTTACCTGCCCACTGTCATCAAGCCACCCAACCAGAGCCTGCACGCCAACGGAACCGGCGACGCCTATCGGGAAACCAGTCCCGATGACGCCAGCGACAAGACCAGTTACTCCGAGTGACCCGACGAGGGTCACGTCTGGTCGTATCCTCAGTAGATTTCCTTCATGGTCGGCAACGCGATCGCTTTCGTTACTGAATTTCGTGTCGGATAATGGAAACAAGCCAGGAGCTATTGCTCTCGATGCCTCGATACGTGTGATCAGCCATTCCTGATCGTAAGCAAAAACTATTTTAAATCTCGAGGTTTTAAAGTGATTATCCAATCGAAAAAAAATTATACATTGACATTGTTTCGACAATGTCGGCGATTGCTCGCGCGAAGACTAGTTCTACTCCGAGGAATCGATTATATACCAGCTAGTCGCATTTCCCAGCGTGTGACCCTCTGTCTTTTGAGAATAATATCTGTTAGACGAAAAGTTTACACAGAATTGGGAACGAAAATATACTAACTATATATCTCTATGAGAAAGATCCTTCCCTTTATCTCTTTGGAATGGACAATATAGATTTTTCAATCTTGAGAGCAGACATCGCGAATGGAGGATTTGGCAATACTCACAGAAATGTAACTTTATTGATTTCGGTGACTGCTGCAATGTGTCATGAAAAAATCACTACGACGATAAAATGCTGTCTTAAGAATTGGATCTTCTCATCGTCGACGTCTGCAGGCAATACATAAGCCAAAAATGTCACACAATGAAGCTGTTCCAGTAGACAATAAAAAAAGTAAATATTATTACTTCTAAAGGCGCTGAAATATCGAAGAAGCAGCAAGGTGTCTGACAATCCGTTTTATTATCTATATATACTTACACGTTTCGCGCGCGGAAGACGCTCGGATGTATTAATCAGATGTCGGCATTACGTTCGTGCCGACGCTAAATCGTCGAATTGCAGGATGAGTTTTGCCGCATGACGTAACGCGCCGATACGAAAAAAGAAACGTCGGAAGATAATGAAATTCACGGCCGAGATTTGTTTTTTCAGAGTATACTTTATACATGTGTAGATAAAGACTATATAGGCAGATATGTGTGTAGGTACCAAGTTTCGACGAATATATCATATCAAACGCGAAGAGAAAGGTGAGTCTGTAAATACGACACGCTATATAGCTAATTTTATCTTGCATTAATCTCGCGATTTGCCGAAATATGTTAAACGTGTTAAAAAAACGCGTGTGCACGCGTAATATACATAAATGTTTACCTGTAAGTATAACGTCTGGCAAGATATCTAGATTGGCCGCTAGCGACCGGAAACATTGTTCCGCCGTAGTTACCATGACATGTTATTCGAAAAATAATGTATAGACCGAAGATACATCCAATAAATAAGATATTGATACTCCACATACGTCAGTCCACTTGGTACGACCCATTTGATCTGTTCAATTAATTCACCGTAGGAATCATCTTGATAATCTTGGTTTGTGACGAACATAACAAGAAGGACGAAATTTTGCTCTTGGCTGCGTAATTTACCTTTTTCCTTGATTTTATATAAAAGAATTCGTTTTTGTACAAAATTAACAATTGGAAATTTCCAGTTTAAGTTTGAATTTAACGGAATGTATGATATAAGTGGTACACGTCACATCGCAAATGTGTCAATTTCATTAAAACTAACAACAAGAAGAAAATAGCTAATGATTGCAGATCTTTTACCAAATGTCACGTTCATGTACTTCAATTTTAATTAATTTATATTCGCATCTTTCTTCTTTATAGTGTATGATTAACAGTTTAAAACGCTTAATTATACAAATTCTCACGAGTCTTGTAATTCATACTGCAAAGAAAAGATTTTTTTCTTGCAACTTTCCATCAATTTGTTCGCAACGCGAACGTAATTTGTAATAGCGAGAGACCGGAACATGCGCCTCTCCAGATGCGAGAGATAAAAGACGAGGACTGATTTTATGAGAAACGGTCTTCCGGCTGAATGAAAATTTCACAGCAACCTACGACCAACGAAGAAAAAAGGTATCGGATGACGAATGCCGTTCGCAGGTGAAGAAATGGGATACGCGACGCTGTTGAAATTCTCAAAATCGTTTCATGGTCGATCGATCTCAAATCGCGCTGCCGGTTTCCAATAAATCAGTCCCGGTCAATGCGAGTAATCAATTCTGCCACTCAATTTACGCAGATACAGTCGCAGAAGGTGCATTATAAAAATTCCCACAACCTTTTGTACTCATTTTTCTTACATGTCAAATAATATTTAGGTAATTTCTGACTTTAATTTTAAATTTAACGCAGTAATCTCTTTTATATCATATTGTTTGTTCTGATAAAGTAAAAGCAAATTTAATTTTAAAATGACGAAAAAAAATAAAAAGTAGACTATTCTCTAAGTACATTTATTCAAACAAATTGAATTGACCAACACGATGCGTAGCAGCGGAGTTGTTGACAAGTTGATCTGTGACATGCAGAGTACATCCAAATTGTAAGAGCGTTTAAAATCATTATTTGAAAAATAATTATTACGCACATTAAACTTTTATTCAACTTTTTTATGCAAACATCTATATAATAAAGGAATTATACATTTAATTATATATCTAATAATCATAAATATTAAAAATTGCAAAAATTTTTCTGTGCAAAAGATTTGTAATTTTTAATATCTATGATTCTTATTCTTTCAATATATAATTCTTTTATTAGTTATCCGCATAAAAGATGAGTAAAAGTTTAACGCGTGTAATAATTATTTCTCAAATAATTATTTTAAACACTTATAATCTAGATGTACAACCTTGTCAATTCTACTGCTGTGCATTATGCCGGTAAATCATTTCAATTTGATTTTTATATCATTAAGAGAATAGGTTTAAAAATAATTTAAAATATACACGGTTGGTCTGGAACACATTCTATATATACATATACACATATACGTATAACATAATAGACATTATAATTATTAATTTTGCAGCTGTATCCTATGAAATGTTGGTAACAATATTTTTCTCTATGTTTAAAAAACCTTTTAATCGATTAATTTACACAGTAACATGTGACATAAATCAATGTGTTAAGTCTTCTCTATCCGTATTGTTTTAAATGTAAACGTATTGTTATGATTTCCAAAAAATATTAAATATTTTTAAAGATGCAATATAATAGAACTAAATGAATATCAAATTGATCGACGATTGCATCATTCAATTAATATCTTTTGGGCTACTTCGGGCAGAAGAAAACTTGATCTTTATCACGGTAATGCAGATACTTGGGCAATTACGTCTGTCGGTGTGTACCGGCAGGCTTAGGTACACGGTATCGATGGAATACCGATAATCGACTGGCCTCTACAAGGCGCATATCCGATAGGTCGATGCCTGAACACGCGCCCGGCGTTATATATCCGACAATTTGTGCCCGGCGCGCGCGGAGCACACACGAGCATTATAATGCCCCGGTTATTATTTACGAGGCATGGCTACCGGTTTTCCCGGGGTGGCAATATATCGACACCCCGCAGAGTTTTCTCTTTTGGCTACTGGTTATCATTCATAATGGAGCATAATAGCAGCCTCCTCTCCCCTTTTCTCTTTCTCTCTCTCTCTCTCTTCTTTCTCTCTCTCTCTCTCTCTCTCTCTCTCTCTTTCTCCCCCTTCCATGCTTTACTTCCGCCGACCGAGCTTAATCCGTAGTCAGAGAATGCAACAACCCCCTTTCCTACTTCGCGTCTCGCGTCTGCAACCAGGAATTTTAAGCCCATTGGGTGGGGAAAGGAGAGTTGTTAGAATTGGAAACCGATCCGGTTGTTGCGAGAAGGGGAGCGGTGAATGATAGGAACCGAGTAATTTAAATGCTCTTCCGAAAGCAAAGGTGAGGTCGAGGTGCCGAGATTGTTCACTGAATTATGCTAGTGTCGACAAGCGGCTTTAAAATCCTTATATTACGCCAGTCAATTATCATTTATTTTTGTTTTTTAACTCGTTTGTCTACGAAGCTTAAAAGAATTAAATGCAATTATTCTAATAATAGTCGCCTAATAAAATATTTATCTCTGTTTTATCAAAATAATTTTTCGATTGTGAAATAATTGCAATTAATTCCTAAAATTGTAATAAATTATTATATAATTTAATACAAATAAACTGTAGGTACAACTTAAGAATATCCACTATGATTGTAGGAATATCATGTCGACTTTAACGTAGAAGATTATGACATTGAAATGCGATGACGTGTATCCTCTCAATGTAATTTTAAATTTAGTAAGAGGGCAGTACGCGATTCTCGCTGGTACGACGACGTTACATAATACATTAAGAATTTTTACTTCCTCAATTGCTTCTCTTTTTTTTCTCTCCCTTTTTTATCAAAACGACAAATTTTTTCGTCCTCGTTGAATCGTGAGATGACCGAATAACGAGTCGGATGGCTTTTAACGTTTTTTCAACTTCCATCAATATTTGCTCCATCGCTCGCTATTTCTCTTCGTCTCCTTTTCCGCATAGGAACCGAGAGGAGTTTCCTCTACTCTGCGGACCCACACGCGTGTTTTTACGTCTACACACCAACTCGTTTATATATACATACGCACGAGTTGTGCGTGGAAGCCAATCGAAGAGAAATATTTTAGGCCTTCTCCTCTTTTGGATCGAAAGAGAGAATAAAGTGTTGCCGAACGTTGGTAAACACAGCGCCGTGTTTGCTCTTTCGGAGGAGCGATCGGTCTCTTGGTAGTACCTAAGGTGTGCATACAGGTGTGCGTGTGTACGCGATTTATTGTGTACAAAGGATGACATCAAAGATCGGATATCTTTTTCCCAGGTACCATGATTACTATAATAAAGCATCCCATTAACTCTCTTTGCGATTCAGGATAATTCAGAGATTATTCATTTAATCTTACAAATTTTCTTCTCTCGCATCATTAGCTTTCCCTAACATAATAATTTAGTCTTATCAGATGATAGCGTCCTAAAATTGTAATTTACTAATGAAGTATGTAAACAAATAGCAATTGATTGTTTGCCAATCTACACACACAAGCAAATATAAGATATTGCAAGATATAAAAAAATACAAAAAAAAATTCAACACAAACAACGAATAATTTTATCATCTTCATATACTTTGTGTATTCTTCATAAGACATTTCTATATATTAGTGGTATCGGAATATCTCATTATAGACGACTATTCGTTATTCTGTTTGATGCAAAGAATCAGTCCTGAAGACAAAAAGAACAAAGCAATAAATTTCAGGGATATAGGTCGCGTCAGTGCAAATCAAGATCCTTTTCTCTTTCCTTTGAAGGGCGTCGCGAAACAATTCCTAACTGAATAATATTAGTATCTAACAATGGACGTGCTAAATTAAAATACAGAGAGCACCCCGCACCGTTATAACGTCCGTTTTGTGTGCGAGCGAGTATCGTATGTACATATACACATCAGTGTGTTAGTGCGTATCCATGCGTGCGTACGCGCGCGGGTGTGTATGTATGCGTGGTGTGTGTGCGTACGAGGTGCATGCAGATAGATCACGTAACGGCTGTGTACCCTCTTCGTATCCGAGTGTTGGTTCTTCCCCTCGCGCGTCGGTGCGCGGAGAGATCACGGTTGCGCGCCGCAATACGAAGCTGCTCAAGGCAAGGAATAGCATGCAAATGAAATATTAATTAAATCTAGAAAAATTCACGCTATCTCTCTCTCTCTCCCTCCCCCCCCCTCTCCTTTCTCTTTACCAGATCGTTCTTCGACGAACAATCCTTTTCCTTTTCCGTACACTATCCAGTCTCCATCTCCTTATCAGCTTTTTTGTTATTCCGAAGAGAATCTCTGTCTTATTTTTATATAAAAATATCAACTACTTCGTATAACTTGTTTCTCAATATTTTGTGATACGATAATGCAAAGAATATTATTTCTTGCCGAAGAATTTACTTCAGTTTTATTATCATTTTTTATTATAATCTGTTAACAATTTTTCTATATAACAATTATTCAAATATTTATATTATATTTTGTTGCAAGGATTTATTTAATTAGAAGATAAAGGATAGATAAAAGTATTTATTTAATTTGTTTGCAGTATATACTATTCGCTAATTAAAATTAAAATTATTTCTCTTCGCGAATCATCACTATATATTCTCACTTGACTTTTTTCAAATATTCCAATTTTCTCCCCCTTTTCCTTTCTATTTCGTTCCCATTTGTTCTGCGTGCAATTCTCACTGTTCTTCCTCCGACTTTTCTCCAACATCCACTCGCTTCGCACTCTTTAGAAACATACCGGACCACCCCTTCATCTCTTTCCGGCAGCTATCACTTTTCGTAGTATACGTGTATCTCACTTGG